ACTGAGAGTAAACTTAAGCACTCACAGCTCTTACTAAGGTTCGTTTGTGTCACAGTTTTAAACACTCTTAATCAGGCGCCGATTCAGCCCGACTCAGGATCACGGTTAATGCATAAAATACTCTAATGTTTCCTCAGGTGGTGCTTTACCGTATGTGATTGCAGTATCACGGCTGAAGAAGTTCTTTTTCTTTCCAAAGCCCATTTGAAACTGCCAAACGTACAGCTTAGTGTTCGGTGGGATTTTCAGCTTAACGGTTTCGTCTTCTTCGGTGGTTGTATTCCACTGGAGCTGCTCTGTGTTGACCATCTTTCCACCAAACTTCACTTTGAGGCTATACTGAATTTTACAGAGAGCTTCAATCAATTCTGCAACTTGGGCTTTGATTCCTACTTCTTCGCTTATTCCCATCTCGATGGACCATTCGAACTCTATGGAGGACATTGTGCTCCTTTCAAATCCAACGGTTTTCTTGATGGTTTTTTCCCATTCAATGGCATTGTTGGAGTCGTTTTGAAGACATTTTACATCTTTCCAATACCCGAACACTTTTCCATGGGTGTGTGCTATACCACCAGGGATAAACTTGAGCACTGACTCGTGAACGCTGAAGTCGACCCAATCCTTGTTCGTGTTCATGTTGGTGCTTCTGTGATAGGTGACACCCCATTTTCCGGCCTGCTTCAGACAGTAGACATAATCATTGGTACCCCAGAAATAGATGCCATCTTGGAACGCTTGGTGGATTTTATATTCAACGGCGTCTTCATCTTTGTTCATGTTACTCACTCGTCTGTAGGTGCCTCTGTTGGCAAATACGATGTACCAATTACCAAAGGCAGAGTAGTAGGCGCTTCCTCCGCGACAGTTGCGATGAAGAGAGTAAACCACAGCGTCCTCGTCTTTACTCAGGTCGGTGACTCTGCGATACTCATCTCCCTTAATGATGTAGAAATGAGAGTCAGTGGCCAAGTAGTGATCGCCCCATCTACAGGCCTCACTTAGACGGTGAATCTTGATATCTTGACCAGCGTGAATATCTTTGCACCTCATGTAGACACCCACATCAGATCGGATGATATAGAAGCTGTTTTTATCACCACAAAAGTCTGTTCCTTTAGCCTCAGGTGCACTTTTCGGCACGATCTCCGGATAATCTGGATTGGCAGACATATTGTCGACTTGGTGGTTGCAGCTGAGAAAAGCTTTCTTCTTGAGTATCTGCAAAGAAGGCAATCCAAAGGGAAAAGACCGGGCTTTTATGGACGCTGAATTTAATTATGGCTTGTTCGTTAGTGGAGGGAGGGGCAATAGAATAAAATGTTTCAACTGTGGTTTTCATTGTCGTTATTCTTTTGCTTGAAAGGAAGTCGTTGTGGTTAGAATGACTTCCGCAATGCAGCACTAAGCATTCGAAAA